AATTATTTTACCTTACTATAATCGCATCTCAGTTACAATTTAATCACAGTTCTGATTTTAAAAGTTTAGAATTACATTAATCAGAAAAAGTTTTAATTAAACTGATCCATTTATTTCCATCTTAATAACAGAATCAAGGAAACTTAACAGAAAAGTTCGATTTTTAGTTTTAAAATGAAAAGTTAATTTGATAATTCATTATTATTTTAAATTTTCAAATATTTAAATTAATCAAATGAATCAGTTTTATGCTAAGAAAATACACTTTAGTCTTGTTTAAGTCTTGAACTTTTCTTTATAGTTATTTCAATTTATGTATAACTGTTTAACTTTCTCAAGTGACTTTATCCTTCTCTTAAATTTCAAATATTGATCAATTATTTAACGATTTATCTTAGGGGAAGAGGATTTTTTTTTTCAAACGTTTCTAAGAGCTATTCAAATTTCTATTCGTCAGGTTATCTGCTGCGTTATTTGAAGAATTTAAAAAGAGTAATTTAGGTATTTAACATTAATTAAATTTAATAACAGAGTTCAGATTTTCAATTATGTTTGGAATTTTTCTATTTAATGCAATAGGAAAATAATTATTAAAGTTTCAGTGCTTGCTTCTGCCGATTAAATCAAAAGTTTCTAAACAGATTTTCAATTTTTTAATGACTAAGAAATACCGCAATTCCTTGTTTTTCTGCTACTATCTTCGATTTTCATGAGACGTTTATGTTTAATTTTAAAAGATTAAGGTAAAACTCAGGAAGCCCATCTGCCTAAGAGGAAAGGTGACCTCGTGGAAGACTTTCCAATGAAAATCGTTTCGTATCCATGTTCCGTATGAGGCAAATCACAGAAATGCTCATTCAACCAGTTCCTTCGCCGAGATCTGAAACTGGATCAAATTACCAGTTTCCAGTGACTTCGTACCGCTCGGGCATTGATGGATCTCTCCAAGGTAAGAACACTTAAGTTTCGCTACATTCCTTTATCTTGGTAAGCAGCGTCTGAAAGAAATATATAAGAAATTGAGTGAAATATCTGTTAAGTTAGAATACAGCCATGTTAAGTTAGAATACAGCGCCACCTATTGGATAGGGAGAGAAAATCTCACTTGGCCATCTGGATTCGGCTAAGCAACATGCCAGAGCATGTAATAGATCTGAATGTAGTAATTACTGTCAATAAATTAGTTAGTTTCTTTTGCTATACAGTCCACTCATTAGTTTAGAATCATAGTACATGGTCCGTCGAGCCGGAGAAACGAACAAAATGCTGGCATTAGATAGAAATAAAACTTCGTTAAAAGCGAAACTAACTAGGTTAGAAAATGAAAGGAATATGACGATAGTTCGAATAAGAATGAAATTCAAATAAAGTAAAGATCTCTTCAAAGCATTCAAATGGATATTAGAAACTTAAGGAATAGATATTTCGAAAGCGTTGATGAAAAAGATGTCACAGCGATTGATGAAGAAATCGTCGAAATGGAAGAAAGAACGGAAGTTCTAGAGATAAGAATTATGGAAATTCTATCGTCTATCGCATTCTGAACAGGAAAATGATTGTAGTAAATTTGATCCTAAATTACAAGTACGTTTGCCAGACTACCAATTCCTAAATTTTCTGGTCAATATACCGAATGGAATAATTTTAAGCTTCAATTCGAAAACATCATAGCGAATAACACGCAACTGACAGAAGTTCAGAAACTCTACTATTTAAAGGCTGCATTAACTGATGAAGCAAAAAATCTTGAAACTGTTGATGATACTTTCAGTTCTTTATTTAAAGCTCTTCAAGATAGGTATGAAAATAAAAGAATATTAATTGAGACTCATATAAAGTCTCAATAATGGATTTACGTACTTTAACATTCGAATCGTCTAAAGGAATAAGATACGCAATAGATAATGTTACTAGAAACGTTAGGGTTTGAATGTTTTAAAATATGAGAAAAATAATGTAACGGATATTCTGCTATTAAATATCGTACTTCAGAAACTAGGTTTTGAAACGCGCAAACAATTCGAACTCAGCATTAACGCTACGGAAGTTTCTACGTTTGATGAATTAATTTCGTTTTTAGAGAAAAGATGTCAGTTATTGGATAACATTAACCGTAATGCTGATAAAGTGAAATATCCGTTAGGAAACAAATTCGAAATCAAAGGCTCTGATGGTTAAAACCGACAGTGTTTCGATTTGTTTTAAATGTAAAAATAACAATCACCCACTGCATAAATGTGATTCATTTTTAAAACTAAATCCAAATCAAAGATATGAAATAGTAAAAAACATAAACTGTGTCTAAACTGTCTCAGTAAGGAACATTTAATTGCAAAATGCAGTTCAGATGTTCGGAATGCCATAAAAAACATCATTCATTAATCCATCGCCTGCTCAGAAATGGCGCCATCGAACAAAAGTTAGACAAAACAAAAACGGAAGCAACGAGTGACGAAATTATAAACAAGAATGCAGATGTCTCTACTAAAAATCAATCAAGTTGTCTTTTGGCAAAGAAAAAACGTGTTATTAGCGACTGCAATAGTATATGTTTGCAATTCAGACGGAAAAAGAATTCCATTTCGCGCAATACTTGATAACGGCAGCATGAGTTGTTTTCTGCGTGAAGGGGTTGCTAATTTGTTAAATATAAAGAAAGAAAGTATTTATGCATCTGTATCCGGAATTAATGAGAACGTTATAAATATTAATTATCAACTAAATGTACAGGTTTCGAATAAGGATTTAACAAATGTAAGATCAGTTAATTGCTTGGTTATTTCTAAAATAACCAATGTAACTCCATCAAGGAGTTTAGATGTGCAGTCATTAAATATTCCCATTGATATTGAATTAGCAGATCCGCAATTTGGAACACCTAACAAAATAGATATGTTATTAGGAACCGAATTGTTCTTTGAGATTTTAAAAGAAGGAAAATTTCAATTAGAAAATCAACCGTTGATATTCCAAGAAACAGTTTTTGGATATATCGTGTCTGGTGCATGCAAGAGTAACTCAGAAGTAAATTATTGTGGTTTAGTTCTAAATAGTAAAGAAAGAGTTGAAGAAATTTTGCAAAGATTTTGGGAAGTTGAATCCATTGAAAATATCAAGGATGCTTTGAGTGAAGAAGAAAAATACTATGAAGAACATTTCAAGCGTACTCACTATAGACAAAATTATGGAAGATATGTAGCTCAGTTTGTAAGGATCTTAAGTTTTACTAACGTTTATTTTATTTTAAATCTTTACTATCACTTCTTATTTTCTACTTCCGGCCAGAATTAAAAGCTTTAACTTATTTATGCAAATTTGTCTTGCGAACGCCAAGTACTTAAGTTGTGGCTTTTTGCCAAGCAAGAGAGAGGAAGGAGTTAGTAGAAGCAGGCCGCTTGCCTTGGCAGTTTTACTCGGTTGCTGGTTGCCTTCAAGGCCAGAGGTTTAATCCTCTTGATAATTTTAAACGTATCGTAGTGTTAACAGTTCTCTGTACTACATACGGCCTTTCGGTTAATATACGGCCAAATCTTCAAGTAGACACTTGTTTATTAATCCAAAGTTAGTTTAGTTAGAATTTAGTTAATATTTTTATGTTCTTACGTTCAGACCACAAGTGGTTGGTCTCTGTATTCCGAAGTCCGGAAATCATTGTAAAGAGAGAAAAATAAAGGGTTTTGTATACCCTTCCTGTGTATCTTGTCTACTTCCCACATTTATTGAACATAGCTTTAGTAAGCTCCCTGTTCCGAGTGAGGTCATTTAATGCTCCCCAAGCAAGTAAAGAGGAACACTGAACCTGATAGTGGCGCCCGACGAAGAAGAATAACCATGGCCGAGTTTCAAGAAGAACTTGTGCTGCCTGCAGAAGCGGCTCAGAATCCAAAAATGCCAGCTGCCGCCCTGGAAGGATTTGTTTACATCGTCCAGACCATGCACGCATCGATGAAACCAGAAGCAACATTTAATGGAAACTCACCGGTAACCAGTTTTTTGGAAAAATTGGAGGACCACTTCATGATGTATCCCGTGCATGAGTTCCAGAAAGTCACCTTAGCTACCAGCGCTTTGAGGGGCCAAGCGCTTAATTGGTTCAAATGTATAGGCAGAAGTCTCTTGGGTCAAGCAAGAAGTCCCACCTATACTTACGAAAATTTCAAGACTGCCCTAGTAAAAGCCTTCCCTGTCGTAAGGGATCGTGCGAAATTAGAAACGGAACTTTTCAGCATATACCAGAAACGAATTGAAAATCTCTCAAGCTTTATTTTAAGAAAAATTCACGTCTTCAAACTCTTGTATGGAAACCGTCCGGATCCTGAGATAATTCAAGTGATTTTGCCGAGGTTACTTCCCCAAGTACAAGACTTTATCGAATTAAGGAATCCGACTACACTGGAAAAGTTATTTGAGCTAGCAATCCAGTTTGAAAGTAGAAAATGGCGGACATTGAAAGAAGACGCCAATATGAGCAACGAAACCAATTTGGTGCGCGAAGACCACAGCAAAGTCAAGCACACGGCTACGGAAGCAAAGCGAATCAGTGGGCAAGGAAACCCGAGTATCCAAAAACAGCCGGCGAACGTCGACAGTTCAATAGCAATCCACGAAAAAAGTCTGAAGGCCAGTGGAAAAAGAAGGAAAGCATGGAAAGGGAAAAAACAAGATTTAAACTAAAACGGATTTCTGCTGACGGGAGGGTGCGGAAATCCGAAGGCCAAGAAAACCCCTCTTCCTTCAAGTTAAATACAGTGATGGTGAAAAATTTGACTTTTCCAAAGATTGAAGTGTTGGTGAATAACATCCCAGCCACCGCACTCCTGGACGCCTAATGGCAGACCGCACATTGAGTTGAACAGTGTTAAACGAATGTCGCATACTGCGCATGCCCAGAAACAAATTTGGCGTAATTATTATGTTGGCGCGATTTGAAAAGAGGATAAATACGGTATCTGATTGTAAACAAATCCGGCGTTTAAGTCTTCGTAGAGTATATGTGCAATGTAAAGTAATTACTGTGTAAAATTAGATTTTTTTCCTGTACTGCTCCAACAACTGGAAAGTTGAACGATACTATCAAGTTTAAATTCGATTGAAGAGTGCAAAAAATGGGTAAAGGAAATCAGCGTAAATGCAGATGCTCCAGTGGATAGCGCGAGCTTCAAACCAAATGCTATTGCAAGATTGCTTTCAGGTATGTATATATTTTCCCATTTCAGTAAATTTGATATGTTATATGTGCAATATGTGATATATTGTATTTTAACACATATACAGTTCATTAACATTTCCTAAATTTCTATATAATGTAGCATTAAGAAAGATGTTTTAAGAAATAATTTGTTTCCTTACTGTTTTAATTTTTTCGAAAAGAAACATCATTTTCGAGAAACTTCAAGAAGAAAGTTATTAGTATGTACAGCGTAATTTTATTACAGCTAAAACTGATGCAAGGTACTTGAGTCTTTTATCTCCAAATGTGTTGAAATGTTTTGGTTGAAGTTAATATGATATAAAATAATGTAATGAACTCGTAATGTAATGAATTGTGGTATAACTGTAAAGAATTGGTAAAAATAAAATATAATTAGTTCAAATTTACTTAACTTCTTATATTATCAAATATCTATTGAATAGAAAACCTGTTGAAATATTAAATGTAACATGTTCTATTTTTAAGGTGATTGAACAGCATGTAGGAATTGATGATGATTTTTAATAATCCTAAAGAAATAGTAAAGTCAACAATAAAGTATATATTGATGTATGTAATTTTCATCAATGATTACATAACATTGCACTTTAATGTAAAGTATGCTTGGCTTGTTTTCATGTGTGCTATATATTATTGCAAATTAGTTCTTCATAAAATTGTATATTTCTGCAGTGAAAAAGTATGTATGCGATCATGCAAGTTGTAGGAAAACATGTACGTGTACTGCACATGTACCAGGAAGACAAGATAACAATTATGGCTGTCAATCATCATTTGCTGACTGTATCTGTCAAGCTGACTACACAGACTATAGTAGCCAAAGATAAGATGTAGAAAGTGTGTTTCAGAGTTGAATATATGAATTAAAGTTAGTAGGATAATTATTCTTAACTAAATAGTAAAATTTAAATAAAATAAAAATAAAACCCCTTATTTCATTTTTTATAAATTCTCTTATTATTATGATGTGATTTCACAACCATTGACACTCTCCTATTGTTAAATAATTCATTCAGCACTGAACAATATATTATTTTATTGGTATAAAAAATAACATATTTTGTGTGTATGACCAAGTTATGATCTAAGATTTTTCAATACTTGAATCATCCTTTTAAAGATTTTTATAAAATGATTTTTTTTAAATTTCAGGCATTGGCACAGTGAATGGCAGCTGAAAAATTTTGACCCTTGTTTCTGGAAGTGAAATGTTAGATGTAAGTAATGATGTCTGAGACCCTTATCACACATCAACATGAACAACCCATTTCGGACAATTTTTCTGCCTGGTTTACTATTGCCTGACATGGAAAGACATGCGACTTTTTCCTTCCTTTCTAAAAAAATTGCAAATTGTTCGTTTTCAATCAATCAACTATCAGCTTGTTTGTAATGGGGAACCAGTTTCCCATGCTAACCCCAAAGTGATCTATGATAATTGGCTGTTGTGACAAAGCTGAAAAATTGTGCCAAACAGTTATTCTTCCGAAACAAACTGACGTGTGATAGCATCCTTACTGTTAATAATACTGTGAAGCACGTAATTGTATGCTTTGCTAATGAATATGTACTAGGCAATTGTGGTTATTATGAAAGAGGTGAAATTTCAAATACAATTGTTTCAGTTACAATTATTACAGATATTATTTAATTTTGTAATAATGCTAATTAAAAATATGAATTAAGAAAATGCAAAAATTAGTGTATAAGCATACTAAATAGTTCAGAGTAAGACTTGTACTTAATTTATAGTATGCACTCATTCACACATATGATGACTCGTACACTGATATAAATTTGATATGCTTTTATACTGTTTACATGTCTTCTATATTCAGATTTGAATCATCATCTGCCAACAAATTCAGTTAATCAGGCATTGTTGACCTTATTAGTTTCTTGCAGATGTGTGAACTTTGGAAACATTTTTAGATTTAGTGTAGTTTTTGTTTGCTTTTCAGGTTTTCGCATAATATCAACTAGAAACATTACCTCTTCATTTTAAAGGTCAAAGAGATAAAATTTAAAAAAAAAATTAATTAGTTAACATCAAACCTAAAATGTTCTTTTATTACACAACTATTATTTAAGCCATCCAAATGGGCGCAATATTTTTATAATACTTTTATTTAATTTTCCAGTATATGTTATTGAAACCATTCAAATCCCACTTGGGCATTTTCAAGCATATTAGTTGTTGAATATTATGTCTGACTGTAAACACACAAAGCAAAGTACATGTATAATTATTATGTAATTTAACCTATCTTTCCTTCAAATATTTCTTTAAAATTACACGGAGGCAGGGATACATTTGAGCTTTGATTAACAGTCTTAGTGTAGTCGCCATGACGGATAAGAAAACAGATGAATAATAGACCATCCATAATCACCAACATATAATGCAAGGATTTGAGAAATAAAGATTGCTTATTAGCATAATAGTGCACTGAATATTAGATATAAAAATTATAGAACTGAAAGATTTGTCACGTATCATCTTTGCTTATTATTATATATATATTGAAAATAAACAGTCTGTGCTTCTGCAACAGAATAAATATCGAGTGTCTTGAAATGTTTTTGTATACCTGGAGCTTTACAGTTCAGTACATTATACAAAGAGCAGTATATATAATGATTATCAGGTCTGCACAGAAATTTTTAATGGAAAATTCTTGTGTATAGATTTAGTTGATATTTTGCAAGACATGGCAATATTTCAGACTTTTATTGTAATTACTGTGACAAAACAATCATTAGAAAATTATACACGTATGAAAATTATTAATATTACATTATGTAGCTTATATTAATAATTTTCATACGTGTATATGTAATATTTTGGCAGGCACAGGAATGACCAAAGCTTGACAATATAACTACATCATAGGGCCAGGCATGTTTATGGCTGGATAGAAGGTTGCAAAATGACGACAAAGAAGGATTTAGCTTTTTAGATCCCACATCTTTATTCAATTCTCTCAGCAGATCATTTTGCCTTTAGATGAAATTCTCAAAATTATATATTCAATATTGATTTAAACTAAGTAAGATTAAATTTAGACTTTACGTCATATCTGCTTTAACAAAGGAAAGAACAAGATGGGAGGAGCAGCTGCAAGGTCTTGTAGCAGCGGTAGAAGAAAGCAGTCTGACGAAAAATGGCACGTATTCAGTATGTGTACTAGCGGTTATATAACATGCCAGAATGTTCTCGAAAGTACTGGTCGCCACTGTATTTTCTATATTTTACATGTATATAATACATATTCTTTGTGTCTTGGTGAATACATTCTACCTCGCTGGCAGGTAACAGAAACTGACGATCAAAAGATTGATGAATGTTTAATAATTTTGATGAGATTATCTAGGAAAGTAAAATAGTTTAAAACGTATTAAATATGGTTTTCCAGAATGTTTCCTAGCATAGTTTTTAATCTCAGACTAAATGATACACATTATCTGGAAGTTCATATTCTTGTGTCATAAAGTATGCTTTATTGTAATTAGTCTTAGATTGTAAAGTTAAATTTATGAAAATATGATGAGTTAAAAAATGTATTGCAGATATTAAACTAGATTTTTTATATGCAATTTTGAAATTTTAGAGATCTTGCTTCATGTAATTATTTTTAATGTTTTTATTAAATTCTTAATTAATGCTATTATGCATTCTTTAGAAAGTGAAATGAAATAATACTTAGGGATATCATTTGGCTGCATTCTGTTGTTTCTCAGTTAAACTATTCTGCATTCAAAAAAATTACTCAAGGATTCTCACGAATACCAGCTCAAACAGTTCCAAAGTATTTCTGCAAAATATACGTAATTACTTAAGAAGAATTGTATCTTTTTGATAATATTATTTAGCCTTTACAAGTTACTGCCAAAATTATTTTGTAAATCAGAAATCTTCGAGGGGATTAGTGTGTCTCGCATAGTACCCGTTACCCTGGTGCCACACTATAACACTGAAATTGATAGATGTATAATTGAATGTTTAATCAAAAATGTCTAATTCCTCTTTTATGATATTTCAAGAATTGATACTACTGAAAACAAGAAATATTGGTACATTAACATTTTCTTAATATTCATTGTGTATTTGTTATGATGCATGTATTAATGTCATTACAAGTTAGCATTTGATAATGTTTGTTTCAACAATTTAGGGTTTGATGAAGTGCCACAGAGATTATCGCTTAAAGAATGCGTGCAGGCCAACCACCAACACAAGATATTAAAAGAGAGCAATGAAAATGAAGATTTAACTATAAAGAAAAATCTGACTAATATTATTACTCATAACACTTAATTGTTTCATATTATTGTAAATTTATGCGAGTTTTCCTTTGTATTCTGTTTATTTTGCAACTTATGTTATTGTAAATTCATGTATGTTTTCATTCTTGCTCTGTCATGCATTTCATACAATCGTTTGTTGTGCATATTAATTATATGTGTATATAATACATCATTGAATTACTGTATTTGAATTTTAATAAACCTTTTTTACCATTCAGTAGTACTTTTCCATAAAACCCTGAACATTCTAAACATCCCATATCACTAATCCTCAATTCTAAATAATACTTGAGTTTACTTAATTCATGTATTAATAACGAATTTGAAAAATAATACAATAGTGACATATTTTGAGGTAAAAATAAATACTGCTCAATTGGACATTTTAAAATGTTTTTCCTTTTAATAGAGGAACATTTTTTAAGGATTTAATTATTAGTATTTGAATATTGTATTAATATATGATTAATTAGTATATGAATATATTGTGTGTAATGAATAAGGCAGTGAATAAATTTTGAACAATAATTTCATATGAAGAAATATGATCTGCCTGGGTTAAAAAATTAATCTTTAAATCCTATTTATGAGATTATATGGCTGAAATCTGTAACCCAAAAGCAGTTAAAGCAACCCACCCCCCCCAAAAAAAAGACATTTTAAATAGTTTCTTCCAAAACTTGAAATATTTAAACATTACACGACCCTAAATTTCTAGTGAATTTAAAATACTCATTTCATTCAGTTCAGCTACTAGCCATTATATGAAATTTTCCTATATTATTAAAATGTTCCTCATGATTTTGCAAGGTGAAGACCACAAATGTTCTGCCCTCATAACTAATGATGATATATAATAGCATGAAGTAGACTTCAGCGTAAGGAATATGGAACTATATATTTTGCTCTTTGTTTATTAATTAGCTCACTTTTAAAAAATTCATATCATATAGTAAGTAGTATTCATAATTTTTCTCATTTTCTTAATATTTCATTGAAGTATTTAAATGTTAATTTAATTAGCAATACCTAATAATGTCAAATGCATATATTATTATACAGAATGGGATTCTGACCATAACACTCGGGCAAAGTGATATACATTAAGGTTTACAACAATAAAAATAAGCGTTAAAAGCTTTAACTCTACACAACTTGTTTAATTTTTAAATTAACATTTTTATTACTTTGCCGTCCTACAAATAATAAAAAAATAATAGTAATACCAGAAAGTGTGACTTTCTTATATTATCCAACAGGAGACCTATGTTCACATCTTATATTTTGAATTTACAGTTTTCTTTTGTAGATGACAGACACCATATATTCAAAAGAAATTAACATGCTGCTGGATATATGCATGTGTTTTTCATATTTACAGCTGTTGCATGTGATGTTATGTAATCGGGTAAAAAATGAAAGAATTAAGTTTATTGACACCAAAACAAATGCATACTTCGATATAAAGGCTGCATAAAAATGAAAATGGCTAAATTAAAATAGTGAATTGAGGTTGTAGAGTTCTCATTTATTTTTTTCCAGCTATTTTATGATTAATTAGCTTTTCTTTCCCTTTTCCTGCCAGAAATGCTAATTTTGAGTGTATTCAAATGAGGTGAATTCATTTCGTTACTTTTGATTTACGCCATAAATGCTGGCTGATTCTGTATGAACAAGCTGTGCACTCTGTTAATTTGTCCGAGTCTATAAAAGGGTTTTTTTACACCTATTCCAAACCTCTGTTGTAATTTCCAAAACATAACGAGAAGTCGCTTAAGTTTTCCAGAGTTCTCACACAGTATATATTACCAAAGTGGGTGAAACTCGTATAAGGTGTAAGAAAGACCAAAAGGAGATTTATTAAATCAAGAAAAGTAATCGGTGGAAAAGGCATTTAATCTTAATAATGAAAAATCGAATTTTACACCAAATATTCAGACTTTTGTAACTGTTTTATATTTAATTAGCGAGAGTTAAAAATAAAAATTACCTTTATATTCATAACATAGGTTACATTCTGTTAATTTCCCATAAATAAACATAAAGAATACATTGACAAAATCATTGTACTAAGCTATTTTGGTAAAATAAAATCTACTATTTTCATTGTACTTCAAATTTAGGTTGTTTTCATGAAATTCTTTTATTAAACATTAACTTATACTTGATAATCAATCTTCAAGTTCGAAAATAAGTTAACTGTAATTGCATTTGTTTTATGATCAAATATTTTAATTTGGCATTTGAGCATTTCTAATGGCATTTCTTTTTCTGTTTGACATCTCTGCTCTGTTAAGGTTATAACCAGTTAAATTGTTACTGTGTCTCTGAAAAATCAACAGCATTCTTAAACACCATTTTAAAAATATTTCTGTGTGTAGTATTTTATCAGTAGAATTTTTCCTAAATAAATACAGAAGTTGTTATGAAAACATTTGAGAGTACATGTCTTGAAAGAGAAACAGTATTCGTAGTGTTTAGTCAATTATGATATATTAACAGCTATCATAACTTTGCATGTATGTTGTATGCATTATACATATATATATGCATAAAGACCCAATTTTGGCAATAAGTAGAGCTGTTACAAAATAATCATGAAGTCTAATGGAACGTACTCGTCACACATACTGGGGGAAAATCAAATTTATGTACGTATTTGCCACTCTTAAAGAATTTTTTGGGGGAATTACAAATGTACCAATTTCTTATTAATATATAATCATTTGTTAATATTAAAGAAAAATTTATTTCTTAACTTAACTAAGCCAGCTAAGTTATAGACCAAAATATGTGTTTCTGCAGATATTCAGAACTTCCGGAAATACGAATACATTCACAGTTACAAAATATGTAAAATATATTTCTTTTAAATGCTTGGAATATTCGGAAAAATATCTAAATTCAAAGAAATGGTAAAATACGTTTCACTTGCAGATTCTTTGTTATTTATTTGATTATATCACCATTAATAACAATGTTCACCCCCCCAGAATAAAAAATATATTGTTTATGTACTGAAGTCTTGGTTTGTTTCCCTTGACAAGTCAATTAATCTATCATCAATGACAATAGCTACCTTTTAAATACTTTTAATTTTGGCACTTAAAATGTTTGCATTTCAAAATAATATTTCTATGCAGCTTTTAAATAATTTTTAATGCAACAGAAATCTAAATAACTTCAAATGTTAGGTAAAATTCATTCCAATAATTCACCGCTTTAAATTTCTGTTCCTTGCAGATGATACAGGAAAACCCTTTTCTAATAATATATTGTTAGTGCAGTTTTAAAAGTTAGTGCAGTTTTAAAACAAGAGCATCCACATGGTAATTTACATGCCATAGCTTTCCATTCTCGAAACTTAAGCTCTTATGAAAGTACTATGCAATTACTGAAAAGAAATGTTTAGCAATTTCAGATGCTATAGATAATCTGCTGAACGTAGATAAGATGCTATAGATTGTATTGCAGATTGCAACTGTAAGTGCTACAGATAAATTGCAAAAAAGCTGACCGTACCTTGCTGAAGCAAGTACAGAGCGATGTAGTCAACAATGATACTGAGTTCTTTACAGGTAATTAAAGGCCCAGGTGGTATTTTGAGATTAAAAATTGGATTTATGAAGAGAGTTTCAAGGAAAACTTTACGTAAAACGTCATTAAATAATGAAGAAATGAATATGTTTTATGCTACTGTGAAAATGTGATTAACGCAATACCGTTGACTTCTGCTTCGGAAAATTCCGAAGACTTGGAACATCTGATGTTCTTAAAAGATATTAGAAAAGTCAGCGTACCCGAGTTTGATAGCACAGAAAAAAATAAGTTGAAGAAGAGATTTGGTTATCGCATTAGAATGATAAAAGATTACAAAGAAAGCGTTTTAGTGCTGTGCATTAAGTGCATACTGTAAAAAAAAGGAAATTGTCTTAAATGAAGGGGATATAGTTTTATTGTGAAATGATCATACAATACGACAACTGGAATTTAGGGCGAATAGTGAAACTCTATCCTAGAAAAGACCATCGTGTTAGAGTAGCTCTTGTGAAAACAGCATATGGTTTCTTTTTGTATCGTGTAAGAAAATTGTTAACATTGGAATTGAGGGAGAAGAAAAAGCATCTTTTTGTCCTTACTAACTTTCTTCCTTTTTCACATTTCGTAATGAAATGCATTCTTTGCCGTTAATATATAGACCCAGGCACAGATGGACATCGAAAGTCGGGAACTACTTCCTGCCAATCTTAATCTAGTGACACTGACAGTAGATCTGTGCTGGAGAGGACAATTGAGATTCTCGGACCGTCAACTGGTGATCCAACGCCTGCTCGAACATTGAAGCCTTATCACGCACGTTATGGTAGACTTACAAAACCAGCGAAAGTGATCATTTAATTGTTGTTTGGGTTTTACCAATAAGTTGTTTAAAACTTAACTTATTGGACTGGGGAATGTCGAAAATGGCCTACACACAAACAAAAGAATAGATGTTTTGGTTTTTAACATTGGTAACAGAAATGCAGTTTAAGAAAAAGGAACATTTGACATCGCTGTGATTTGACCCAGATATTCTGTGCTTTTTTGGCTACTTTTGTTTTTTTATTCTCTCGCAAAAATTGTGAAAATAAAATGTTTTCTACTAAAAACTTCTAAAACTACTTCTAAAAGTACTGTTTGATAACAAAAACAAAAGAATAGATGTTTTGGTTTTTAACATACACACAAACAAAAGAATAGATGTTTTGGTTTTTAACATTGGTAACAGAAATGCAGTTTAAGAAAAAGGAACATTTGACATCGGCTGTGATTTGTCCCAGATATTCTGTGCTTTTTTGCTACTTTTGTTTTTATGCTCATCGCAAAAATTTTGAAAATAAAAGTGTTTTCTACTAAAAAGCTTCTAAAAGTACTGTTTGATAATTTTCCACCTATTAAGCTCC